TGCAGGATTTGGGAGGGGAGGAGAGATACCTCAGACAGGCTTCCCGACTTCCAGAGCTGCCTCCCTCACTTCGCCCAGATGGAGTTCTCAGTCGTGCGACAGCATGAGGAGTTCATCTGGCTACATGACGCCTATGTGGAAAATGAGGAGTACGCCGGCCTCATCGTGAGGAAGGGCCGGGCGGGCTGGGGCTGTGAGGGGCAGGCCTGGGTGCTTGGGCGGGGATGGAAGGCTGGGCGACACTTCTGGGTGTGGGTGATGGCCTTCTCAGCAACGAGAGGCCTGCCAGCTCTGTCCCTCCTTTGAGCAGATCCCCCCAGCCCCTCCAAGGCCAGACTTTGAGGCTTCAAGGGAAAAGCTGCAGAAGTTGGGTGAGGGTGACAGCTCCATCACGCGGGAAGAGTTTGCCAAAATGAAGCAGGAGCTGGAAGCGTGAGTGCTACTTCCTTTCCTTGTCTATGATGAAGCTCCAAGCCCACCCCTGTCCTGAAAGTCCCAGGATTTCATCACCTATGGTTAGTTAGAGACCCTGACCTCTGACCTCAGGGCTTCTGAGGGGAAGGGGGCAGGATAATCAGAGCCAAGGAGGGCCCATGAGCTGCCTGCCATTTTCTGCAGGGAGTACCTGGCTATCTTTAAGAAGACAGTTGCAATGCATGAGGTCTTCCTGCAGCGCCTGGCGGCCCACCCTACCCTGCGTCGAGACCACAACTTCTTTGTCTTTTTGGAATATGGCCAGGATGTGAGCTGGGCCAGAGCACACCCTTGGGTCACCCTTGGGGGTAGGGGGCAGGGCGCTAGGTGGGCTCAAGCCTCCATCTCATCGGCTCCAAGAGTGACATGAGCCTGGGGTGGGAGGTGCGAGTGCCCACCCCAACACCATACTCTCCCCCTGTGTGCTTCAGCTGAGTGTCCGAGGAAAGAACAGGAAGGAGCTTCTTGGAGGATTTCTGAGGAATATTGTGAAGTCTGCAGATGAAGCCCTTATCACCAGCATGTCAGGGCTAAAGGTGACCCCTGGGACCCCTCTGTGGATTCAACCCAGGGCCTCAAGTCCACAGCAAACATTGAGGCCCAGGGTGGCTGTGGGAGGGAAACCACTGGTGGGGCATGGCCTAGAGGGAAATTGTGCTGCCCCTGCGTGTCCATGGCCGCCATGTCCCTGCTGGCTCAGTGTAAGTGGCTCTTGTCTGGCTCCCTTAGGAGGTGGATGACTTCTTTGAGCATGAGAGGACCTTCCTGCTGGAGTACCACACCCGCATCCGGGATGCCTGCCTGCGGGCAGACCGTGTCATGCACTCCCACAAGTGTACGCAGGGCCCAAGGGGCCCTGGGTTCCCTGCCCCTTCTCCCCGGCATTCCTACTCAGCATTCCTACTCCCTGTGGGGAGAGGAGAGCAAGAAATGCCCTGTGTCTCTCCATGACACAAACACTGGGGGTGGGGCTTGATGTGCAGACCAAGGGGGTCTGATGAAGGGCTGTTCCCCAACAGGCCTGGCAGATGATTTTATCCCTCTCTCTGCTGCACTGAATAGTCTGGGAACACAGGAAGTCAACCAGCTAAAGACGTGAGGACTCCCTCTCACCCCTCCTGCCCCTGCCCCCCGCCTCTCTCTATGCCTGTAATACTGTGTCTGCCCATGAGGAGTCACTGTGGAAATGTACCATCAGCTGTAGGTGGGAGGTGAAGTTCCTGCTGGGATTTGGTAAAGAGCAGAGGGAGATTTCCCCACTGCAGGGCATTAGGGACAGCAGCGCTAAGGGCAGGGAGGCTTTAAGCAACACCCTCTCAAGACCCTTGCCCTAACTCTCCCCCACTGCCTCCTAGGAGTTTCCTCAAATTGGCAGAACTCTTTGAACGACTAAGGGTGAGTCCTGCCTTCTGTATTGGAAGGGCACCCAATCAATGATCCTTTGCAGGGAAAAAATATCTCCTCCTGAAAGAGGAGAAAGCTCCAGGATCATTTTGGAACGTTTGGTGATAACTTGGGCCCAGTTGATACCCTGGACTCACCCTCAGTTAAACCCTAGTGAAATGAGATGGAGGGGGGACAGGGATCCAGCCAAGTGTGTGTGTGCAGTGATGCGGGCAGGGGTGGGAGCCAGGCCTGGCAAGCCATTTACAAGGATGTGCCACGTGCCTCTGGCAGGCTGCACCACATTGCCAACATCCTCCCCCAGACACACACTTCCTGAACTCTTCTCCAAGAGTCACTGCAGTGTGCCAATCTTTCTAAAATGTCTGCTGGACTACCTCTCTTCTCAAGGACCTTCAGTGACCCTGCCCCTCCCAGAAACTACCCAAAACACAAAGCCCAAAGTCCTTAGCTTACATTTTAGGTCTTTTGGAATCCAGCCACTGCCATCCAAATGCTCCCACCGACCTCACGGTTCCCTGAACACATACGAGGCTTGCACACCTGCAGAGCCTTTGGTTGTTGTCTGATTCCTAGTCAACCCCCAAGATCCAGGTCAGATGCCACTCCTCTGTCAAGTTTTCCTTGGCCTGCTCCCCTGAACATCAGGGTTTGACCTAGAGTGGTTATCAAGTGACTCTGTTGGATATTGAGATGAGCAGCAACACGCCAGCCCTTAGCAGCTCCTCTGCAAGCTCCCTCCCCAGCCTCCAAATTTCCTGATTCAGAAGCTGGAGGGCCGAGTGGCGTCTGATGAGGACCTCAAGCTGTCAGACATGCTGAGATACTACATGCGAGACTCACAGGCAGCCAAGGTGAGCTATGGCCCCAGAACAAACTTCAGGGCTGGAGGACAGCAGGACTGGAGCAACAGGGGAGGGCAGGCCGATGAGGCAATGGGCAACAGTGATCCCGCACCCCTGCTGGCCCCAGGACCTGCTGTACCGGCGGCTTCGAGCACTGGCTGACTATGAGAATGCCAACAAGGCCCTGGACAAGGCACGCACTAGGAACCGGGAGGTTCGGACTGCTGAGAGCCACCAGCAACAGTGCTGCCAACGCTTCGAACGCCTCTCTGACTCAGCCAAGCAGGGTAAGCCCCATGGTCCCAGAGACCCTGCCACTGGGCTGCCTACCCTGCCGGGGCCCCCATTTCTCCTCCCTCCCCTCCAGAGCTCATGGATTTCAAGTCCCGCCGTGTCTCCTCCTTCCGCAAGAACCTCATAGAGTTGGCAGAGCTGGAGCTCAAACATGCCAAGGTGAGCCCTCCACCCTCACTGCGCCCTCTTGCTGCCTTCCTGCCGTCCACTCCCAGACCTCTAGGTTCTTACCAAGTAACTGGCAAACATGTGTTGGGGGAAGGTGGTCTGGCAGCCCTGAGCAGCCCCCATTGACTTTCACGGTCATGTTCCATCTTGGACCAGGACTCTTCCCTTCTCATCACTAAGCCCTCAATAAATGGCAGCTATTATTGCTAAGGACAGGAATGCAAGAGGGAGGAGGGCAGGAGTTAATACGTGTGGAAAGAACAGCACATTTTATCAGGCAGCAGGCTGGCAGTGGGTGGGGGACATCAAGACCTCTCTCCTCTGCAGGCCAGCACCCTGCTTCTCCGGAACACCCTTGTCGCCCTCAAGGGGGAGCCTTAGTGCAGCCAGAGTCTACTTCAGGGCTTTTAGTGGCAAGAGTCCCCCAGATTTTCCACCCCAAGATACCACCTCCCCAACCACAGCAGCCACTAGCCATGCCCCGTGATCTCCCAGGGCAAGCCCAAGCCCCACTCCCACCCAAAAGTGCCAGGTCCTGCAAGAGAAAGCTAGGGCAACATGGGTACCATACTTGGGCCACAGGTAAGAACCCCAGCCTAGGGGAGGCCAGGAGCCTGGACCTCCCACCTCTCCTGGAGTCTGAGAGGCTGCCCCCAACCCTCTGCGCCTCCCGACCCCGCCAAAGCTCGTTTTGTCCCCAGCCTGTTCACAAATAAAAAGCCTGCTTTTTGTAGCCAGGAGGCCTGCTTGTCCTTACTTCCCACAGCTCCAGAGCCCACCAGGTACACCTTTACCGGGCACTATGGACACCAGGCCCTGTGCACCACCCCCTGCAGTGTCAAAAATAACTACCCTTCCTGCTTCCAACTTAGAGATACTGGCAAGCTCTGAAGAACTAAGGAACCACCTTTAACAGGCTTTTTTCCCCCACAGTTCAGGTTGGGGTGTGTAATAAACCCTGCATTCACACCCTTAGGATGAGATTTCTAGGATACCTTTACCTCCTAGGCAGGCAAAAACCCGAAGTACAGATTGGAGTGAGCCTGCAGCAATGCTAGCCAACACCCTCTTGGTTAAACACAAGGAGGTGGGACCCAAGACACTTGGGTCTGAAGTCCTGGGCTCCACCTGGCTTGGCCCCACCCTGGACTCCAGTCACATCTGCAGAAGGCCAAAGGCTCACTGGCTTCTGACTCACAGCAGCCACTGGACCCGGCCCTCATAGATGAGTCAGCCATCCATGAAAGGCGACAGAGAAAAACCAGAGAGAACCTTGAAGACAGAACAGCTCAAGAAGCACTTTGTAACTTGCAATCTCACAACCCACACTAGGCAGGCCTGAGCATGGGGTTGGAGAATAGGCCTCACTGCCCAGCTGCCCACCCGAGTAAGAGGCTACAGGAGAAAGCGTTCAGGCACAAAGCCCCTTCTGACCAAAGGGCTCTTGCAGCTGGCAGGACACACACCCCAGTTCAGCTAACTCCCCCGCGGTCAGTTTGGGCCCAACTGTGGTACCACCTATGAGTGACCACTGTCAGAGGAGGCTCAGCCAGTCGCTGGGGCCAAATTAAGGGGGTGGATGGAAGCTGGGTATAGAGAAGACATGCTGTTCATTACCTCAGCATACCTTCCCCTGCAAGGTCCCCTGGGCCCCAACCCTGAAACAAACATCCCATTAGTGAGCCTTTTTATTGTTGTGTGTGTGGTTTTTTTTTGTTTTGTTTTTTTTAATTGAAGGTCCCTTACTGGTCCTGCTTCCATGGGTGGCCAAGACCAGGGGAAAAGGGCAGGGGAACCAGGCGGCGCAAGGAGGGGTCATCTCCACAACATTCCATTTATACACAGAACTAAACAGACAAGCACAGAGTCACTATTGCGGTTAGAAGTTGGCAGCATGGGAAAAGGGGGGAACAGGTGGGGAATTGGGGTGTCGTTAAAAAAAATACAGGCCTCCCCAAACTGGGGTGCCTAGGGGGAACTTGGTCTGCTTCAACCCAAGAGGAATCAGAAGATCAAAAGCAGTTTGGGAAGGCCAGAACCGTCAGGGATGGAGGGAGGAGGAAGGTCCAGGGGGGTGAGGGGGGGTTGTTTGGCAACTGGGGTGAAGGGATTGCCCTCCCCCTGCTGGGATCCCCCCAGCCCCTCAGGTCTGGCAGGAAGGGGGCAGCCTGCAACCCCCATGGGCAGGTCTGGGGCTGCCAGATGCTCCAGGCAGGGGGCTGGAGGGGGCTCACAAAGGCTTGCCCTCCAGGGAGATGACAGCACTGCCCCCCAGTTTCTCTGCCAGGGTGCAGCGGTCCTTGACTTCCTCGTAGCAGTTTGCTTGTAATTCATGCTTGATCCCTGTGAGGAAAAAGGGGAGCATCTGTGAGCAGGATGCATTGGGGGAGGGGAAGTTGGGGCTGGGAAGGAGCCAATCAGAACAGATGGAAGGGACAAGGTTACCTTCCAGCAGGCAGGGAAGAGGAGGGGGGAGATATCTCATATACCACGCCTTTCACCCCACCCCGGCAGCCAAAGCCTGAGCAAAAAAGTGCGTCGCACCGATGCTGGCCCTTACCCGTCAGCTTTTTCTTGATGGCATCCTTGGAGCTGGCATAAATCATTTTGCTCTTAAGGGGTGCAGACTCAGGTGCCCTGGAGGAAAAGGACAGTCAGAGAATATGCAACAAAGTTCCCTCTCCAAGTCTGCAAGTGCCCTCAAGTGAGAGAAGACTTTGAGAAACCCTTGAGCTGGTCCCAGCACTCAAGCTTTGACCAAGTTCCCCACCAGCAAGTGTTCTGTTACGACACCCTCCCCCCAAACCCACAGAGGTTCCCATGCTGAGAAAGGAGGGTGAGGGAGAGCTAGGGCAAGTGGTAGGAAGAAGCGCCCGCAGGGGAGCTCACCAGAAGATAAACACCAGGTCCTCCTTCTTGCTCTCCTTGGTCTCATAGGTTGCATCATAGAGCGCATAGCGGCAGTCCTTGTCTGGCAGCATCTTGACAAAGGTGGTGTAGGGGTCGTCTACAGTCTGGCCCACATCACCTACCAGGATCTCCTTGCCCTCCTCCAGGATGATGTTCTTCTTGTCCTCGCTCAGGCAGAAGAGTACCGCCTTCTTGCGCTTCTTCACCTCCTCTGGTGTTGAGGACTTGCGCACCTTCATGTCATTGAACACTTTGATGACACCGTCAGAGACCGCCACGCCGGAGGCCTAGGGGACGAGCCACATATACTTCATAAAAGAAAGACTTTGGGACTCCCCCTGAAGTCCCTCCTTTGCAATCTTAAGAGATCCATCTTGGATGCCAACAAGTCCTCAACCAAGAGATCATCAATTCCCCTTCCCAAGCCAAGTGTCACTATTTTCCCACCCAAGCCACTGTCCAAGGACCAAAGAGAAAACCCCAGAATGGCAGCCTTAGAAGAAACCTCTAATCATCTAATTCAACATCATTTTTCCTCACCCAACGTCTTACAGCCTAGAAACTGAGGACCTGTAAGAAGCAGAACCTTGGCTTTGATGTGAGCCCAGAACTAAAAGAATCCACAGGCTACTGACTCGTTTCTTACTCACAGTACTCCATCTCAGCTTTTGGATAATAGTGCTGACTCAAAATTTCACATAGGAAAGGGAGACTCAAGGCACCCAGGTTATAACCATCTCTTCTGGAAGTAGAACCAGGATCCCACAATGATAGACAGGACACCAACGAAGTTTAACAGTTCTCGTTAAGTCCATCAGAACTACTCAGTGCAGTTGTTCACAAACCACCACCCTCTTCTTTGCTAGGGTCTTCTTCAACCAAGGCAAGAATCACAATCCCTAATTAAAGCCCTAACCCATTAACTCCCCGTCCTCCGGGGAAAATGTAGGACCCAAAGGTCGGTGACATAAGTTAGCAGGTCAGAACCAAATATCCACGGTCCTCGAGAGCTCTTTAAACGTCTATTTTGGGTCGTGTTGGGGGGACACCCTAGCCAGGAGGGGGGCTACTGTCCACAGTGAAATCTGCCGCGCCCCCCGCTCCCGGAACTGCAGAGGAAGCCGGCCACGTGACTCAGCCGCTTCCGGAGTAGGCGGGGGGGGGGAAGCGCTCGCCGGGGTCCGGCCCCGTCCGGGAGAAAGCAGTACCCGGAGGCAGTAGCACCCCAGAACCTCAACCCCGAGGAATCGCCTTTACCGACAAGCGTATGAGCCCCCTCCACTGCCGACCGGAGCCTGGACGAGTTACACAACCCTCAGTTCTCGTAGCCCTGGGGCCGAACACAGGGGGCGGGGTGGTTTCCGGGCGGTGCCTGCCTGGGTCACTTCCCTAAACTCGGCTCCACCCTCAGGCCCCATCCGGGAAAGCCGAAGGCCCCGCTTGTCCAGGGCTTCGGGCCCAGCGGCGGGGGCCTGAGCGTGTGCGCACGCGCCGGCCGACTGTGCCGTTCCAGCCTTTGCCGGATGTACAGAGCAGAGAACCCAGATCGCTTTATGGGCTCCCTCGCAGGGCCGTGACCTCCGCGGTGCAAACCCGCAGCTCCGGGTCGCGCGGTGCAAGCCCCTAATCCCCAGCGCTAGCACTCGGACCCCTCCGCCCCCGCATCCCCGTTGGCCCTCCGCCCCCGCCCCTCCTGGGCGCAGACATCCCTGCCACCTGCTCTGTACAGACCCGCCAGCCGAGGGAGGGTGACGCGGAGACAGAACAGCCCTTGGGTGGGGCGCGCGCGCCGAGACCGCTCGCGCGCTTTTCCCTCGCCGCCCCCGGGCCGGGTTCGGAGGCCGCGTGCTCCCGTAGAACGCGCGCCCCCGTGAACCGACTTGCCTCATCGCGCGCCACCGGCTGCTCCGCGAGGGGCGGGCGCGCGCGCGCCACGGACCCCTCCCCCATAGCCGGTGTCCGCGCGGGCGCAGCAGCGTGGTGGGGGAGGGGAAAGGAGTCCAGGGGGCGCGCGAGCGACGGCCGAGCCAGCCCTCTCCAGCGCCCGCGGGCGCGCACGCGCGTCCCAACGCCGCCCGCCCCTCAGCCCGAGACCCTCAGCCCGCCCGGGGCGCTGGGGGAGGGGGTGCCGACGTCGCTCCACCGTTCCCTCCCCTGCGCGCAGACGACCGACTCGCAGCCGCCTCCCGTCAGTCGCCAAGGCCTGCTGCTCACCATGTTTCCGGAAGCGAAAGGAAGATAGCAAGGAGAGCCAGAAGAGATGAGAGCCTCTGCAGCTGCTGCCGGGATCCGACTGAACGCGGCCTCTCCCGGCCCCTTCCGTTTAGTATGAGCCGCACAATGAGGGGCGGGGCGGGCTTCCGGCGCTCCCCCCATGGGCCGACGGGAAACGAAGTCCAAGGGTCCTGCGCCGTCCTCAGGCTCACTGGGTAACAGAGTCTTTTTCGCCAGCCGGCCTCCCAGCGCCGCATTACATGCTGGGAAATGTAGTCCGAGACAGCAAAGGGACTAGGGCTATGGCACGGAGAGCGCGCCCATTGGTCGAATTTTCTAGGAAACGCTCAGCTGAGCAAAGGCCCCCCGCGCTAGGTAATGTGACCCGAAAATGAGCCCTCGACCTCGCCGCTCTTCACCCGCGGCGAAACTGTTTCCTAAGATCCATCTTGGCAGGTTCTGGTCTGAAAATTCTGAGTTTAGTGTTTTGCTTTTCTGAATTGAAGCAACTATTTATTGGCCTGGAATCTAGTCCTAGATAGAGCAAGGAGAATCGCAAGTGTAAAGTGTCTTCAACCCGATAAACAATTCATTGAGCACCCTTCATATGCAAAGCCACTCGTCTCCTGAGAAAAGGCCATATGCAACTTCAATAAAATTAGAGTAAGAGGAAAAAACACGAGAAAGGCTACAAGGAAGTCTTTAAAAATAGAGCTTTGTCCTTGTTTGGCAAATTCACGAAAAATAAAGGGAGAAGGGCAGGGGGTTGTACGATCAATCCAAAGATTGTGTGCCTTTTACTAAACACAGTGAAAAGAAGAAATAGATATTAAACCAGACTTGAATCATGTTCTCGAGTGGATAGCCAGGCATACAGTTAACTTAAAACCCGGAAAAATTAAGACACAGCTCTGTGTTAGCCTAAGTTCCGAAAAAAGAAACGGGTGGGGACTACGGGAAGTTTTCGTTGGCCTCGCACTACGACCAAGGCCTTAGGCTCTGCCGAAAGACACTACAGAGTCGCAAACAAGGGAACTGGGAGTATTGGTCCCATCAGCTGAATAGTGTAAATGAAGAGCTGGAAGCCTGGTCTTCAAGACCGGGAGTGGGGCACCTCGCAGGGCATGCCGGGGATTGTAGTCAGGGACATCCCGCTGCACCGCCCACCAACCGAGTTCCCGGGAGCCCCAGGTGGAGGCCGCCGCTCGACCCCCAGCCGGGTAAGCGACCCTCCCAGAAAAGGAGACTGGCTCCACTTTTTTCAAGACTCGGAGTTTCCAAGAGTAACGAGGAGGGGGAGAGAGACTTCGAAGTTACCCTGGAGACACGCTCCCGCCCGCCCCTAGCCACGGGATGCCCTAGATGTCCTTATTAGGACAAGAGACTGGAGGGGGTGGGGCCAACCCGAACGCCCGATGGAGGCTCCTTATAAGGCAGCCTCGGGAGGGAGGCGGGAGTTCGAAGCTGGCTC